ATACCTGGTTTATCTGTTGTTCATTTCAGGGAGCAAATTGCACATGCAATTTAATGTTTGATAGGGTTTTATGTTTTTTTGAGTATTTAAGCTTTAATTGGTGAAGGTAGAAGTGCACCTGGAATTGTTACTACGAGAGTTCGTTTTTCAAACTTTAGTTGAAGTCTTAAGACTTGACACAAAAACGTCTACAAGTAGATGCAGAAGTCTTATGTTTTCATACTACTATGAAGTTAACTGACTTGATGTCAGGAACGGCTTGTTGAAATAGTACCCAATTAAATATTTGGTACTGTTTTCTGAATTTTTTTTTGATTGTTGGCTGTTTTAACATAGGAGACCAAATCTGGATTGGCTCTTGACTTTCAATACAATGTAATATTCCTCCTTTTTATATGGTAGCTTATTTGGCACATCTGTCCATAAACCCAAAGGAACTCAAATTCCTGATGAATAAAACATATGCATTACTAACTTTTGACTTGTTCTTTGTTTATGTTGTGCTTAAGTATGCTCTGGTTATATTAGATGATTTCTTGTCTTCCTGTGACGTGTGTGAAAATGAGTTCTTGTATGCAAAAAAAACCCCAAACCCTATCAAATTGCTTTCTTAATGAACTTTTAAGCACAAGTTCTCAAAGTAGCAAACATTGAGTGGGGTAATATATGAATGTTATAAAATTACTGTAGACTAAAATATGAACTTTTAAGGAAGCTATCTATAAGATACTGGTTCTATATAAAAAGTGTAAGCTATAAATGGAGAAACAGATGACACTTTTGCTCTGGTCTTTTTAGAGAGGCAGTTCTCTGAGAGTATCTTTGGAGGTGAGGGAGAATTAGTGAAAATAACTTCAGTGTCATTTCTAAATGCTGTCTGTTAAACAGATGGTAAAACTGCTGAGGCATGTTATGCTGACACCTTGCTCTTGAAGCAGCCAGCAGGGCTGAAGGTCCCGCAGAAACGTGTTGCATAATAACCATTGATCTAACAGTACGTATTTTCTCTATTTTAAAAGTGTTGGTAGTTTCTTATATCTCAGTATCATAGATAGTTGATCATAGATGCCAACTACAAAGAAATGCCTACATGTCACTAAAAAAAAAAAAAAAAAATCTCCTCACCATCTACCTCTCCCCCTTAAAAATACAGGAGACTGGGACTTTCATGAATCCCATGCAACAAAGTATTATTGCTTTGGAAGATAGAGAAAACATTACTTTTAGAATCCAAGAATTTGGTAAGATCTTAACATGATAATTGAATTATGCTATTTTGAAACTGTTATTTTCCCATGATGAATAGCATATGCTGGCAGTATTTTATGGAAGAAAAAAAAGCTCACTTTTCTCAATGTAGAGTTCAAGAGAACCAAATAATATACTCAGTACAGCATGAAAAGAAAAATACTTGAAGTTGCTAGTGTAGCTCAGGAAAGTTTTTTTTCATTCTCATCAAGCTTGTAACTAATGTTAATGTTTGGGTGTTTAAGCAAGAAGAATGTTGGTTTTATAAGGGATCTATTGAGCTCTTGTTTTTTTTAAGCAGCGATAGTCCGGATCACTGTTTGTTTTTTCAGTTTGAATTGATACTTTATATTCCCTCCAATAAAAGCTGTATGCTTTCTCATTTTGCCATACAGCTGTAGATTTCTGTGCGAAGACCGACTTATGCACAACTAGCTGTCTGTTTAGCCAGAAAAAGACTGGGAATACACTTAGGTTCTAATTCATGCACTAACACCAACAAAAATTAGTCACAAAACTTGGTAGAGAAAATACCTGGTATTTCAACACCCTGGTCTTCTACAAGAGCTGTTTCAAAAGGCACTGTGGTGAATCCAGCAATTAAGAAAGGCATTGAATTCAGTTAACTGTCTTCAAAGCTGATAAATTATGGGTAATGTTCTCAGTACTCCTTAAGTGTGTGACTCGGATAAACATGTCTGTTTAAAATCTACTTCTATCCAGTTGCTGATGGGAATTGCAGAAAAAAAATCTGAAATCTTAACTGTTAAGGCTTATTAAGTATATAGTCATAAAATAGATGAAAATGAGTTTTGGACTGGATTGCTTTCTCGCGGTGCTTTTCCTCTTTGAGCACTCGCTTTGGCATGGCACCGGAGTTCTTTAAATGTATTGTATACAGCAGCTGTCTGTCCTCACATGTTTTTAATAACTTTCTATAGACTAAACCAAAGGATCAGTAAAATAAAAGGCCTCTTTGTTAGTGTACTATATAATTAATTGAGGTTTATGCACTTACGGTTTGGCAAGCTGAAAGTTTGAGTTCTCTGGCTGTTAAGAAATTAGAAGTTGACAAGAACAACTGACCCACTTGTCTGACTTAAAAAAACTGGGATGCCTGCTGTCATGAAACAGAGATCCAAACAGTTTCAACTCCATTGACATTTAATTGTTAATGTGTGTGATGTCTGTTTCAAAGCTTCTTTGGCACTTCTTTGAAGGCAGTTAGTCAGCTCATCGTAGTGAGGCACATTGCTAAAAAAAAATTCCTGCTATCTGATCTATGTATTAGTTGTTTGGAGGTCAACAAAAATCTCCACTGGAGGATTTTACTCTCTGGCTGGAGGAGAAAGTACTGTTAAAGGTTGGTTATCGAGGCTAGCTCTGCTAAAAATAGCAGGAGAGACAGCAGAATAATAAAGTGAATAACAGGAGCCTGTACTAAAATAATGCTGGTAACAAACACAATGTTCTGAGGTTTTCTAAAATACAGCAGGCTTTTGTCCCACATTCCAGTAATTTATTTGAAAGGCATGTTCCACTTGAGGATTGCCAAGAACTTTACAAATACTAAGCCTTTTAACATGCCTAAGGTATGTGCCGTGCCATTTAAAAAAAAAAAAAAACAACCTCATAGGCAAAAATGATAGCTGTATTTTTCCAGAAGCTTGTGGTCTATAATAATACAGAAAGCTTTCCTTCAGTGGTTCAGGGAAGCTTCAGACTCTTCAGGTATGAAAACCTGTTGTAGCTCTCTATCTCAAAGGAGTTTGTGAGCTAAAAAGGTGGGTGTTTTGTTTTTATTTCCACTCCCCCCCCCCTTCAAATCTGAATATGACACATCCACACTACAAATTCAATTTGAAGTTACGCATCTCTAGATTTCTAGCATGTTATCATCTGTGACAAACCCTGCAGCCTAGTTGTGCTTTTTGGATGTGTAAAAATTAGAGCTTATACAAATGTGAGGCACTGGTTCTCTGTATGTATGTACCACCTAAAGATTAATGAACTAACTTAGGACAACAGAGCTAAATAAAACAGGTACCAGAATTATTAAGGAAGGAAGAATTGCTTCTAGAAACAGCTATAGCCTTTAATGTCAGAACTGTTTGAATGAAGAATGCTGTCAGTGGGACAAAAAAAATGAGTAGAATTGGTCTGGAGTTTTAATACTGTAGAACATTGGCCTTGAAAATTAAAAATATAGTTGTGCTAGAAGAAAAGTGAAAAACACAGCTTTGTCCTGAGGTGAAGGGAATAGATGTCAGCAAGATGCAGAGCCTATAGTGCAAAGTTTTATTGAAGAAGGCTGCCAAAATCCTTAGGTGATGAGTTTGAATAAAAGCTTGTGGTAGACCAACAAATTTAGGAAAGAAAAGGCACCAAATCTTTTGTTAGCTGGAAAAATAATGAAGACTAGAAATCCAGAGGCTGTGCAGGCTACGCTGTTGAAGACTTTCACAGTTCCTTACTCTGTCTATGCAAAAAAGTGTAGTCTTGGTATAACATAGATTTTTGGAAAATGCCATAGGCTTATACATACCTTTTCATGCCCTCTTGATTTTAGCACACAGGCAGTGATATGTCTTCATGTTAAATGACCCATATAATATATTTTCCTGCTTTTGTGGAGGTTTGCAAAGGCTTTCAAATCACAAATGAACTTGAAACAACTCAGCATATGCTCCAGTAATCCAGTAGTAAGTCAAGTAAAGTACTTTGACTGTTGGTGGTGACTATTGGAGAATACTGAAATTACCTACATAAACTACTAAAATCTTCATTTCTTTAGCAGGCAAAAATTAACAATCAAAAGTAAACTGTACAATGACACCATGTATTGCCAGTCCCTCCCCTGGTGCTGCTGCGTAGGCTGGAGGGAATCCCGTTGCAAAGTTGCTGCATTCATAGTATGGTTGTAGTTGGACAGTCAAGACATCCAAGTCAGGGCAGAATCTTTCAGATTTTAGTTGTTAAAACTAAAGTCTGCAATGTGCATAGGCAAATGGTATTTTTCATACATGTAATGAATTTTAGCAGATTTTCAGGTGTCAACAGGAATGTCATGCAGGGGGTAGGGGAGATGCCAAATTTGAAGCTCTTGCTGCCTGGCTTGGAACTGCTGGAGTTGCTGGAACTTCCAAAGCACTTATCACAGATGAAACTTGTTTTTACTTCATCTTATTTTTTATGATAGCTGTATTATTTTGAAAAGAAAAAAAAGTTTATATATACCTGTTTCAAACAGCTGCCTAGGCTTATAGAAATTGTCAGGTGCTCCAAGGAGGAAGGTCTTTAGTCCTGTGTTAATCTGTGATAAATGCTTACTTGCTTAAGCATATACCAAGGCAATTATTTTTCTGAAACAAGAAAGGAAAAAAGTGTTTTTACTCTTTGCCTTTAAGATGATGTTTCTGCTGGTGATGCTGACAGTCTCAGTCCTGATGCTGAACAATTCTCTCCTGTTTGATTAGAATTAGTCTATATGATATAAAAAACAATCTAAATCTCCACCCCTAGCTCCCTCGAATTTTATTTATTTTGAGGAAGGCAGAACTGTCCAAGGCTCTGAGTGTTGCGTCAATCAGAACTCTTTCTATACAGAACAAGTTTTATTGTCTATAATTCAAGTGTGTCTTCAAATTCTTAGAAAGCATTACTGTGCTATCAGGGGTTTGAAACAATGTTTTTTGAAAAGCTTTGCAACTTTAAACCTTCTGTGGTTTTTTGTTTGTTTTTGTTTTCCATAGACTCGAGATGATTTTCTTGGGCAAGTGGATATTCCTCTTTATCAGTTACCGGTTTGTATTTTCTGTTTGTTTTCTTTTTTGTTTTAAGACTGTAAAGGAAAAAATGATTCTGTATGCAACTGAATTCGTCATCTAAGGAAGTTAACTGCACTGATAATATAAGTAATTAAATACCCCTGCTCTATTTTTTTTGTTTGGCTTTTTTTTGTGGATTTGTTAGGGGTCTTTTAGTGATGATATTTATCAAAAAATGCAGGTTACCTTGTGTTTAGATACTGGTTGCTGCTGCTACAAGATTTAGGAGTGCATTTAGCTTTTTCAAGAATAAAAATGCAAGGCTTGAAACAATCTTAAAGACAGGAAGAGATTGTAATTATTGTCATATTTCTTAAAATACTTTCTTTAAGGTCTACAAATTTACTTCTAATATTCTTTATTCCCATAAACAGATACAGAATAGGGTAAGTGGGAAATAAAGCTAGAGTTGCTTTGTACATTTTTAGTTGTTGTTTTTGTATTCCTTTTGCAAAGCACATTGTTAGTTTTAAAGAAATATCACCAAGAATGTTGAAATATTTAAGCCTTTTCATTTTCTTCTGAGGTCTCAAAACATTAGAAAATACTAACAGACTTATCAGCAACCGTTTTAAAGACAGGGTAACAACTGTGGCAAAGCCTTTCCAAGGTTTGCCTTGGATTTCCAACCTTTCCTTTCATTCTGGTAAGAAGCATGTCAGGAGTGGTTATAGATATGTCCTGTTTGCCACTGTAACTGGTATGCAAGATCGCTTCCCACTAATAAGCTGGACAGCAATATCTGGAGTCCTCTGGAGATATCGGTGCATTTTTTTTATTTTTCTTCGCATGAACTGATTTATAGAGCCTCATTTGAGTATTTTCATGGCTGTTTTCTTTGTTGACTTTTCCCTGTCTCATCTTTGTTTCCATCTTTCTGGTTTCTTGTTCTTAATTACTTGGTCTTGCCATCTAAATCCTTTGTACTTTATTATCCACCAAATATAGGTGGATTTTTTTGAAAGTCTTTCATTTACATAAGTAAATATATCTTGGATAAATAAGATCAGTTTATAAATTCTTTACTACATGTAGTTTTGTTTTTTCTTGATACTATACAGACTGTTCATAACTAAAAAGAGCTGGTAATTGGGGACACATAGAAAGGGCAAATAATCTGCAAGGTAAAATAGTTGGCAGACACCAATTTGCTCTTTCCAAACCCCAAATGTATTAATTCAAGTGTAATCTAGCATTGAATCTAAGGCAACTCTTGTTTTTTGAAAGACAGAAAGATAATTATAAAACTTAGATGAAGAAGATATCTCTTTCTTTCCTCTGTGATGTATTTCCACAGGGTTTTAGTGTCTGTGTTGGTAGAAATAATGTCATGTTTGGGGGGTGGGGGTGGGAACGGGGGACGGACACAACCCAAATGCCACAAACCCAAAACCCAAGCTTAATTCTATTTTAATTTTGAAGAAGTATTTACCTTAGCTGTAAGACAATTCATTCTATAAGTATAGAACCTGATCTTGCAGATAATACCAGTGTAACACATACATTGTTACAGAATTGAAGATCTACATTTTAATTCAGTGAAGGTGGAACACTTCCAACTTGAGCGTAGTATTTCTAAATTGTATTAATAAAAGCTTACACTGAAATGTCTGAAATCCAAGAGAACACTTTACTTTCTGAGATTCGGTGTAATAGTTACCGCATTCAGTAAAATTGACTCCGCTTAATCTTAGGACTGTTTCATAACAAAGCTCAACGGTTCCAAATAAAATTCTAAAATCTCTAACTTCATAATGTCTGACCTTTAGATTCTGAGTTTTTTTTGTTTGTTTGTTTCTTTCCAATCAACAGTACTGCTTGGAATGGTTAAAATGTATTGATTAACAAGAGCCTAGAGTTACTCCCCAGAATTTACAAACAGGTGTTCCTAAACATATGATACTGTAAAAATCAGATGTTTTTCTAAGAATTGCAGAACTCCAGGTAGATTATAAATATTTATGTTAACCAGAAAAATAAATATCTTTGTTTTCTTTAATGATCCCTCATGTATATTTCTCTACCTGTACCTGGTATATATATTTATAAAATGATGTTTGTTTACCTCTGTGCTTCTTTCTGTTGAGCAACTTCACTTTTGTGGATCAGAACAGAGATGTTCTCCGAATGGATTCTTCTGTAATTATTTTTTATCCCCAAGCCCTAACGCTCGAAACGTCCTTTTACGTATGTTCTGTGTAAAAAAAAAAAAAAAAAAAAAAAAAATTAAAAAAAAGGGGGTAGTGAGGGAGGAAAAAAGAGTTATGGTAGATACTTTAAATGTGAAAATTGAGAAACTATTTCTTGATTGCAGGCTAAACAGTTTTTTTTCTCTGCTTTAGAAACTGTAATATATGTATGCATTGAAGGTAATTTTCTTTCTTGAACTGGGGAATTAATTTTATTACCAAGATTAAAGCTGGTATTGCTACTACTGTTCCTAAATCTATAGGTTAAATTTTTAAATGTTATATGGCCTTTAAAGAAAAGCATTGTAAATTTCTGATAATTTTCTTTAACTTCAAGTGTTTGATACAGATTTTTCTTGAAAAAACTTGTCTTATTCCAGACAGAAAATCCAAGTATGGAGAGACCATATACATTTAAGGATTTTGTTCTTCATCCAAGAAGGTAAGTACCACGTAAAAATTCTGTCATATCTAAGCAATGCTGTTATGTAATTACTTGTACAAATGTAAATATTGTCTAATTTTTTCTGTTTTCATCAAAGAAATTTGAGCATCAATGGTGTAAGATATTTGTGATGCTACTTAAAAAGTCAGCATTTATTTAAATACTTCTAGATTATTTGGTAAAAATAAACCAGTTTTTTTCAGGCCATGATATAATTAAAATTATAACCTTATCAGAACAGTTTACTGTTTTGCTGAACAGTAACATCAGTGACCGATGTTGTGCCATATTTCATTTATCTCTCTTCAACTTTAAATTGTTCTCTGCCTTCCCATCTCTTTTGTTTACCTGTTTCATGTAAGCAGTTGCATGGGACCTTAATTATAAACACAACAAAACTTAAACTGAAAAGCTGCTTAACTTTTTGGAAGGTCTCTGTTAAAAAACCAAGGAATTTTTAAATGATAGGTAACACTTTGAACTGATATTAGTGTTATGTGTTTCATTTTTGTTTTTTAAAATGTAGATTCTTAACCTAAATCTGAGCAGGTTTTAGCAACTTTTATTAGAAATAGAATACATAAAATGCATGTCAACATTTTTCAGACAATACGTTCCAATTTAGAAATAACATCAGAACATGTGGGATCTATAGATCTTTCTCAGCCATGTTGGTAGCAGAAGTATTTTTAAAGTATTTTACACTTCCTGTTTTTTAGCAGATCAGTGATTCTAACAGAGTTAGTGACTGTCAAGTTTCATTTTGATCTCCTATTTAACATTTCCTATAAATGAATGAAGAAGAATATTTATTGTATCTACATAAATCAGCTTCAATTGTTGTTTGTTATTCAAGGATCTGACCTGTTCTTGTAGTGGTTACCACAGGAATTGGACAATGCTTTGTAGTAAGAGATTCTGCCACAGGTTCAGGCACTTTCCTGCCATGAAATCTTACTGTACCTTTTAGATGCTCTTAAATTTTGCTCCTATTTGTGTTTACTTGGACAGGGATGTTGTTAATAAGGTTACTACCTTCCCAGTGCCTCAAGCTCAGTAAGAATTATTAACATGTTAATACTCTGAAATGAATTACTCCCAACTATTTTATTGAAAATTAAGATAGTAGGTTACTTCCTCTTTCAAAGGGATGTGGGCTTTTCTGAAACCACAATATGATCTGAATGAACATGTTAATAATCCAGCATGAAATGTTTTCCCGGATATCAAAAAATGTAATTCCCTTTTTCTGCATGGGGGGGAAAAAAAAAAAGCAAAGCATTAGACCTTAGTGATGTGGGGTTTGGTTTTTTGTTTTGTTTTGTTTTTTGGTTTTTTTTAATTTTATTTTAATAAGAGAATGTGTAGGTATCCAGTTGCCTCAATAGTGGTATTTTCAGGACTTTTTTTTTTTTTTTTAATATCAGTAGTCAAACAGATGAGACAATTTAGCAGATTTCTTTACCAAGTGAAAATATTAAATAAAATCAATATGGGGAAGTCCTGGTTTTGGGCTTCTAATGATGCATTAAGCTAAATACAGAAAGGCAGATGCTGAAGTATATGAGCTTGCTGTAACTTAGTTTTAGGGAAAGTAGTCCTGTAGATTTAAATAATGCTTGATAGATTGTCTGCACACAGTCAAATTGTTATAATTATATGAATTAAATTGTTATTATTCTTGGTTTTTTGTTCTTTAGTGTTATGCATTGGATACTAGGGAAGTTTTCAGAAGAGTGAGTTGGAAAGAAAGGTTTCCTGTTGTGGTACATAATATCAAGGTTTATTCAGAAGTCTAAAAACTCAATATCATTATAGAACTTCATTAATTTAAACTATAAAAAGCCAAGTTTGTGTTGAGAAACTTAAGAATAATCCTCTAGCTGTGCTTTTTCAGCTATTTTATTTCCAGGTAACAATTTCACAAGTGCATAATAAGAACATATTATTTTCTCTTCTGCAGCCATAAATCAAGAGTTAAAGGCCACCTTAGATTAAAAATGACTTACTTACCTAAAAGCAGTGGGTCTGAAGAAGAAACCACAGAACAGGCTGAAGAATTAGAGGTGGGAAAAGATGTATTTATTGCTGAAAAACCTAGCAAATGTCTTCAGCTATGAAGGGTAGTTACAGTAAAAATGAATGTCAGGAATCACTAAGCTATAAATAGTAATTCAGAAACAAACCAGTTAAAAGCAGTTGCTTTTATCTTACATAACAGTTGTAAGTCTGTATAAAAATTCTGGAGCGGTTTTTCTAACTAAAGGAGAGGCTTTGTCAGTATATCTAAAGTAGAAAACATAGATTAGGCTTTTAGTTGTTCTGGTACTGACTTGCCATACATCTATGTAACTTCTCTTGGTTTAGAATTAATGGAAATATCATTGCCCAGTATTTTTACTGCTGCTTAACGTTGTTTCACTCCAGCCAGCCAGACACTGACATCTTGCTGGTTTTAGAATTTCAATTCTCTCCAATTTATAGGGCTCTCTTCATCTTAACTACTTTACATCTGTAATCTTTTGTAAGCACGTCCAATTTAGATCATTGGATTTCTTTTCATGACAACTCTAATCAGCATTGCCACCATTGCTGTAATTTAACTGTTAAAAAATGGTGTGCTCATCTGACTAGTACACTTGCAGCATATGTATGAAATGAAGTTTATTTACTTTTTAAATTTATTCTATGAATGCTAATATGTTTAAGGAATTTGAGTTAAAAATAAGATTTCTGCATGCATAGTTTATCCTATCTTTTCTTGAGAAATATACACATAAAACCCAGAGCCAATCTTACTGGCTTGACATGTAGTGGCACTGCACCTTAAAAGCAGGGTGGTTTAATAAATTGAGATACTTTTTCAGCTTTGGTAATTTTAAAGGTAGTTAATATTATATCTCTTAGCCTGGGTGGATTATATTGGACCAACCAGATGCTGGGAATCTCCTCCGCTGCCTTCAGGATGGGAAGAAAGGGAAGACATCCTCGGCAGGACCTACTATGTCAATCATGAGTTCAGAAGAACACAGTGGAAGAGACCAACTGCTCAGTATGTCTTTTGGCCTGAAAATTCAAGTCTTATATTGTAACTGGTTCACTCTAGTTTTATTGAACGCAAGAAGAACTAGAAAGTGAACAGCCTGATAATTAGTGGAGAGCTTTCCATAGCTTAACCTTCAAGCCCACGTGTAATGGTCACTGGCTGATGGCCACTTTAACTGCACAGTACTCCTCCTGTTCTCTGGAATTATGCATTCAAATAGGCCCTGGTTGCAGTTGTAAGAGATAATAGCTATAGTAATGGAAAGGAAATTATTTTCCAGCTCCAAGCCTGGTTCCTCCTTCCCAGCAAGGACCGCATTAAATTGTTTACCTTGTTTTTTTCAGATTTTGTTTTTCCTCCTTAGCATGTGAATTACAAAAATAATACCTGGGATGCTATCTGGTTCTTTAGTTTAACTTACGCTTCATGTCAATGTGAATGCTTATTCTTTTAAAACAGTTTGCATGAATTTTTATAGCTCGTGACTGTTTCTTTTTCTTCTGCCAAAATGACTCTGTTTTTGCTGTTAGCCTAGCTTACTGTTGAAAGATAGAATATGGCTACTGTATGCTGACTTCCCCACTCCCCCAACAGGGACAATGTAGCTGTTGCAGATATTGGTAGCGTGCAGTTGGAGGCCCAGCATGTGTTCACTCATCGGCGACAGATATCAGAGGATACAGAAAATGTAGACAACAGAGATTCCCCCGAGGTAAAAACAATCTCTGAATGTTTCTGAAATGCAAGTAACTTTATAATCTAGTCAAAACGCTTGTCTTAACTGTTTGTAACTTGGAACTACTTTATAAAAAATGTTTTTTTCTTTATTTTCTTTTTAAAGAGCTGGGAAATTATAACTGAAGATGAGGCAACAATGTATAGCAATCAGAACCTTCAAATACCTCTCTCACAGAGTAATTGTGATATACAGACTCATCTTGCAGAAGAATTGAATACCAGACTTACTACCTCTGGAAGTTCGGCTACAGGCCAGTCAGCAGCCTACACTGTAAATTATTTTTCTTGTTCTATTGTACAAAAATATCTATAGTATTTTGCACAAAATGTTACTACTGATAGAATTAGATCCATAAATATTTCATATTAACAGTTATATTTTGAATTCCAACCTGAATGCAGAGAATTAAAGAGTAATCTTTTTACTGTAGAACCCCACCTAAGCAAACATTTTATTCTTCCCCACTTTGCTTATATGAATTTCTGCCTGAAATTAAAACAGATTTGTGTGAACTATTTTTCAGTCTGTAAATCTACCTCTTATTCTAGTGTCATATTGAGTGCTGCTGAAAACTACAGATGAAGGAAACTGTCTATATCCTGAAAGGATATTTCTAAGGGAGTTGTGCTGTATTGGTTACTTCTTCCACTAGGACAAGTTTTAAGATAACTCATATTTCATTGTGAATATTGGGGTAAAGTTTTATGATTGGGCTGAGTAACCGTGGTGACTCCATAGCAGTGAAAAAGGGACTTTGCTCATACAGTTCCACAGCGCTTGCACGAGTTATGAAACTCTTCTGGCTTTTCAGTAAGTCTGTTCAGCTTGCTAACCCAGCAGAAAATGATT